CTAGCAACCCTGCAAGGCCGGTATCATTTATTCCCATTGTACAGCTGTGAAAACTGAGTCCAGATGAACAATGGAGTGCGTGGTTAATGACGTGCCGTGGAGACTGACTGACAGGTCTTAATCTGCCATTTAGCAGTGCCACTTAAGCATTTTACTTTACCGTTTCGAACATCACTTTCCAAATCTGAGGAATAAAACAATATCTACTTTATAAACATTATTATGAGAGTAACAATAGAGAATGGATGTAAAAGCTCGCAGGACAGGGCCTGGCATAGAGTAAACACTTCACAAATGACTGTTGCTGTTCACTATAACTAGTGTGCCCGCTGCAGGGAGGCGCTGGGGACAGTCAGCTCTGGCCAATGTCAAAGCTGCCAGCTCTCATGATGGCCACTGAGTGGCCCACTTGCCATGGGGACCCGGGAACTCCTGAGGGAGGGGGAGCTGCTGGGAGCCACTGGAAGGACAGGAAGAGTTGCTGAGACAGGAGAGTGTGGACGGGAATTGAGACTCATTGAGCACTTTGGGCGCAAGACCTAAATTCCGTCATCGGGCACGGGAACCAGAATGTCTGAGACGCCCTCTGGCCAGACAGCTCTCCAGGCGGCCCAGCTGGTGAGAAGCCTGCACACAGGGTCGGGGTTGGACCTTGAATTGGTGGATTCCAAGCACAGGGTGTGGCCCTGGGAAGGAGGTCTCTTCGACTTGCTCTTTGCTCCCGGGAGTCACCGAAGAGGTGTGCTAATTTCCATAATGCAAATTATCTTGCTAGAACGCAGGCAGACTTCTGGGAAATGGGCTCTGACCTCGGAGGGATCAAGTGTTTTGGGGAAAATTCTCCCTCTCTCAGATATATCGCTGACAAGTGCCCACCACCTGGCGCCTGAGACGGGGCCTTCTCTTAAACTGACACCTTCATTTCCACTCAGGACCAAGTTATCCTCTGTGTCCCCATGCTGCACACCCAGGGCACCCAAGAGGGTGGACAGTCTTTCTAAACAAACAGACAGACCCTGAGGGAAAAAACTTCTCCATTTTGTGAACATACCACCGTTTGCTCAATGTGTCGTCACTGGCCATTTGAGCAGTATCAAGTGTCTGGGTGTGGGCCTATGTATGATAAACAGTGCTGATCGACTGCTCCCATAAACGTTGTTTTGGGGGCGTGCGCATGCGTTTTGGTCTGTGTGTGTATCCAGGAGTGAAACGCTGGCTGGTGGGTGGGTGTCTGCTCAGCCTCAGCAGATGTTGCCACTCCATCTTCCAGCGTGTCTGCGCCCGCTGCACGCCCACTGGCGGGGGGCCTTCTGTCGCCCCACATCCCCTCCTACAGCTGCTATTGTCATCTGAGAATTTACAACGACCGGCCACACGGATCTCATAAACATGAACTATAGTGGGGGGCGGGGGGAGGGGGGCAGACATGGAAGAAAACAGTCCGATTCCCATCTGTACACAGCCCGGAACGGGAACAATAACCCCGCGTTCAGAAGCCAGGAGAGCGGGGCCGCGAGGAGCGCTGGGCCTGTGGTGCACGGGTTCCAGGGACGCGGGTTCATGTAGTCCCTTTGTGGGAATCCACCAGGCTGTGTGCTTACGACTTGTGCACTTTTGCATGTCATGCTTAAGTTAAATTTTTAAAAAGACGTTTTTTTCAGTCTTTCTCTCGCCCTTCTGTGGCCCTTCCCACCGGCCTGGTTGGGAACCATCGGTCCGCGCCCTGGTGGCCGGGGACCAGTACCAGCTTCGGGGTGGCTCAGCAGGGCCTGCGGCTGGTTTCCTGCTCCGCTGCTGCCTCGAAAGTCTTCACACCTCCTGAAAAGGGCCCTTGGTTTTGTGTGGCCCCGGGCTGCACACATCACGCAGCCGGCCCTGGCCACAGGCCACGCGTGTCTCCACAGATCCCCACCCGGCTTGGTCTTTGGCGGGCACGGCGGACAGGGCCAGGCGGCCCCTCTGCCCGGTGAGAGAAGGCGCCCAGTGGCCACCACACTCAGGATGCATTAGCCCAAGAGCCATGACGGGACTTAGGAAGAGCCTGGGCCTCGGTACATATTCTTGTTTTCTTTCGAATATAATGCATCGATATGTATTTTTATCATATAAACAAGAGGAGGCAGGGCTTTCTGGTTAGTCCTCACCAGAGGACATTTTTTCCATTGATTTTAGGGAGAGTGGATTTGGGAAACATCCCCTGATCAACTCCTTCTTCTGAGTTCCGTCTCCAGGTCAAAGAATGTGTGTGTTCCATCCAGCGGCCTTTCTCTCAGATCCTTCTTTCTTTGGGGCGCTTCCGAGGGGGGTGGAGGTGATAGAACCGCGGCCTCCTGCTTCCCCGTGACCTGTGCTTCCTATAAGCGCTTGTTTTTCACTCCGAGGATTGGCCTGTGGCCAGGCAGGGCTGTGTTCTGCGCGCTGGTTTCTGCTTGGGTTTGAGTGCAATGAGGAAGTTGTCAGGCAAAACTGTTTTCCAGGGTGGCTGAGGTAAGCCTCCTATCTCCACTGAGCGGGAAACAGCCTGGGACGGGCCGGGACAGGGCGGCGTAGTGGGCGGCCCCTGGCTCGGGGGCCGTGAGCTCAGCTATATATGACTGTGACGGAGCATCTCTGAGACACTCGGGAGTTTGGGGGCGGTAGCAGCAGCAGCATCCTCTCCCCGGGAAGCTGGGCCTACCATCCCTCGTTGGATACAACTTCTGGCAGACGGGGCGGTGCTTCTCAGCGGTCCCACCAGAGCCCTCTGGTCGGAGGGACAGGAGTGACTTTGTGGCCCAAGGTTGGTTGAGCGATACTCTCTCCTTAGGGGCTGGAGCGGTGGGTGGGTTTCTTGGGGTTCTGAGAGGAGTATAAGCCCAGAAGGCAGACCCTGAGGCCAGGTCCAATATTGCCTCTACTTGCTGGGCCTCCCTGGGCCCCAGTTTCTCCATCTCTGAGAGAGAGCAGGGCTCGGTGATGCGATCTCAATCCAGTGCCTGAGAAGAGCTCTGAACTAACTTGGCCCTGTGAGCTCTGAACCCAGCCAAGGAACTTCACTTCCTTGGGCCTCAGTTCCTCATTTGCAGAATAGACGGCGCTCCGTACTCCCCTGACTTTACGTGAAGACGCGGAGCAAAGGGAAGCTCCCCATCAGTGGGAGGTGATGCTATCTCCTGTGGTTGGACTAAGGGTTAGATGTTAAGGTTTTTGGAAGTTGGTCCAAGAACAGGGACATCTTCTGCTGCCCTGACTGGGATTGGAGGGGGATCATCTAACACCTGGGAGTTGGGCCTGGGAGCAGGACGGGTCCTGAGGGGAGAGGAGACCACCTTGTCCCCCACGAGACTCAGGCCAGGGGAGGTTGAGTGTCTCCCCAGCAGGCCCCCCTCCTTCCCCTGTGGGAGGTGTGACCTGTGATGGACCAGCACTATTGAGGGAGCCCAGGTTGAAGGCTTTGAACTCGGACAAGAGTGGCTGTCATTGAGGGGCCTGGAGTGCCCATGGGCTGCCTGTGCTAAGAAGTAAAGTTCTGGGTGCAGCCCTTGACCCTCTAGCCCACTGACCGGCTTCCTGCCCAGAGTCTGTGCGCCCCGCCCAGAGTTGACCATCTCCGCCTCTGGCCATGAGTGTGTGTGGGCCACGGTGGGTGTGGGCAGATGTGGTTATCTCCCTCAGTGTGAAACAGCACCGCTGCTCACCTCTCAGGCCTTGTGGGCACATCTGCATTTGCTGGGGGCCCCTTGGCGTAGGAGAGAGAAGTTAGAATCCAGAAACATGGATCCAAGCCCCCATTCTCTCTGATTCCCAGCTGGGGGGAGAGAAGGTGGGGGGAGAGGGGGCTTGGGCAAGTCTCTTAGCCCTTCGGAGCTCCGTTCCCCTCGCAGCCAGTCTGATTGACAGGCATGGCTGGGGGGACTGAGATGTGTAGATGAGAGGCTTTCTGGATGCCCTGCGGCCCCGCACCCGGGGAGCTGGCCATGCCTGTGCCTGTCTGGGTATCACTCATTCATTCCCCAAACCCTAAGGGCCTCCAGGCAGTGTGGGCGCTGGCCATGCCTGTGCCTGCCTGGGTATCATTCATTCATTCCCCAAACCCTAAGGGCCTGGCAGTGTGGGCGCTGCGGGAACCGTGCAGCTCCGTCCTCTCTGGGGCTTGGGGTTTAGGGGGGCAGACGGCACACAGATGCTCAGATAATTACTCCTTGCACTTGGGTCGGGGAATGGCAAGGGGCTCCGAGTCCCTGTAGGTCTGCGGTGTGTGTGCGTGTTTCTGTGACACACGAGTGTCTGAGCCGGTGCGGGCTGCGGCACAGAGCACAGGAGCTTCTTTCTCACGGTGCTGGAGGCGGGAAGGTTGAGGGTGAGGTGCCGGCAGGCTCGGTGTTTGGCGGAGGTTTCCTGGTTCATAGACAGTCACCTGCCCTCTGTGCCCCCACGTGACGGGAGCGGCAAGGGAGCCCCCGGGGCCCGTTATAAGGGACACTAACCTGGTTCATGAGGGCCGTGCTCTTGTGGCCTAATCACCGCCCAGAGGCCCCGCCTCCTAAGACCATCACCTGGGGCCTTAAGAGCAACAATGAATCTGGGGCACAGACGTTCAGTCTACAGCAGTGAGTGTCTGTGGGTGCTGGCTCCGGCCCATGCGCGTGTGCCACATGCATGGAGGCGGCTATTGGTTAAATTATATTGTGTGGCGTCCAGGGTGGAGAGGGCAGGCAAAAGCGGTCTGTGAAACAGTGCCCAGCGCCCGAGCAGTGAGAGTCCCAGCGGGTGCGTAGGTGAGGGGTGGCCTACAGAGGAGGCCATTGTACACTCAGGCAATCCACCAGAGGCGGCAGCCGCTCGGGGGACGCGCAGATCCACTCCGGCTCCGGCTCCGCAGTAGCTCGCGTCAGCTGTGCCCTCCCTGGTGCGTGGGTATGTGTCACCTCTGAGCCGAGGTCCCGTGACCAGCAGATCACTTGGGTGTTTCCGAGCAGACTGGACTTTGCTCTGAAACCACTCTCGGCCAAGGCGATAAACATGTTTACAGGAGCGGCTGGGTTTCCATGCAGTGAGGGGGTGCTGTGTCTCGGGGGGACTGGCTGGAAGCAGGTCCTCCTGAGCCGCCAGGCTGCGTGGGGCGGAGAGGACAGAGGGGAGCAGGCGAGCGGCGAGGAATGGTCCAGCTGAGCAGAGGAGGCGGCGAGGAGACTCGGTGGGATGAGGCCCGGCCATGGTTGAAAGGGCAGCCGCAGGCTGTGCTGGTGGGTGGATGTGGGGACTGAGCGAGACACGGAGACGGGGCGACTTCACGTTTCTGTCTTGAGCAACTGGAAGAACGCAGCTGCCATTCACTGAGCTGTCCGGTGAAATATTCTTAACAGCCTCTGGGGTGGATAGGCAGGGGTTGGGCGGCCGGGGGGCGGGGGGTGGGCATGGTGAGATCTGGGGCACGACCTCCTGGGCCTCAGCTTCCTCCTCTGGAAAGTGGGGCCAGGACACCGCTTCCTCTCAGGGTTGTTGAGGAATGAAAGTGGGATGACAGCTTTGAGAGCTGAGGCCGCAGGCATAGCGGGTGGGGTGGCCCTGGGCGGCAGGCGGCCTCTCCTAGGAGCTGTTGGTCTTGGTTGCAGCACCATGGAGCTTCCGCAGGGCCCGAGGAAGCCTGTCTCACAGAGAAGAGCTCGGTCCTGGGACAGGTCGCAGAAGCCCAGGAAGGACCCGGAGTCCCGGGAAGGCCAGTACCTCTCCCTGCCCGCCACACCCCCCAGACGGGCACCTGCGGGGAGGGCCCGCGATGGCAGCCGGCACCTCGGCGGCCTGGGGTCTCCGGAGGCTCCAGGCCCCGAGGCCCTCAGCCTGGAGGCGGCCAGGGAGCTGCTCACCAGCGAGCAGAGGCCTCCGCGGGACAAGAAGGACAAGGCCCAGAGCCGCAACCAGCAGGGGTGGCTGAAGACGGTACTGAACTTTTTCCTGAGGACAGGCCCCGAGGAGGCCAAGGACAAGGCGGCCAGGAGGGCCAGGGCGAAGGAGGGCCTGCCCCCGCCCGCAGAAGCCTCGGAGCCCAGGAAGAAAGCCCACGACAAGAAGGCCGGCCGCAAGAAGCATGGCCACAGGAGGCACGGGGACGGGGACGCCAAGGGGCCCCCGGGCCAGGAAGCCGGAGGCCAGGACATAGCTGCTGCCTGGCGCTCCCAGGAGGCCCACCTGGGCCCAGGACCCAGAGGTGAGTAGACCTACCCGTTGCTATGGTAACCCCATTGCCCACCCCAGGACTAGGGTGCTCTAAGTGGCTACTCCAACCGCTCAACAGAGGGGATGTCCGGAAGGTGGGACAGCTGCCAGGAACCCCACCCCTGGGAGCTCCCTCAGACGGGCTCCACCGCCAACCAGCTGTGTGGTTGAGCCTTGATCTTCTCCATCGATAAAGTGGAGATGATGACAGTTGTTGTGTCACGGGGTGGCCGCCGCCCAGCGCTCCCCGGGAAAGTGCTCCACAATGATCGCTGTTCCTGTGAGGGGCTCTTGTTCGAGGAGCATGGGCCAGGGAGGAACGGGGGGCCGGGAGGGAGGCGAGGGTGGACGCCCGCCCTCCGCACCAGGCCTCAGCCGAGCACTGGGGTGTCGGGGAAGTGGCAGGGCCAGTGCTGGGGGTGGGTCTGACGTGGCGCCAGCAGAAAGACGTGCTGTGTGATCTTGAGCAGGTTGCTGCCCCTCTGGAGCCTTTGACTCCTCATTTGTAAAATGAGGGAGCAGGTCCGAGGTGCCTTCCTTTCCTGACTCCGGCTCCTGGAGTTGAGTGTCCCCCAGGCACCTGGAGGGGAGGGCTCTGCCCAAAGTCCCCATGTTTCCTGGGGAGAAGAGATGCAGGGAGGCCCAGGATGGGTTGGGGGCCGGGGAAGGAGGTCTGGGTTGAGGCGGCCTCTTTTCGTTGGGTTCCTGGTTCTCTGGTGAGGCCCAGAGCTGGCGGCAGCAGCGCCCTCCTGTGGCGAACGCTGAGCTGTTTCCTGTGTCCATTAACCAAGTCAGGAGAACGGCACTGACATGCCGCCTCCCCCCCACCCCCCCACCCCCACACACACACCCTCACTTGCTTCTGCCTTCATTCCAGGCGGGGCGGACCCTGGTCCCCACCAGTCCGTGCTCATCGAAGGCCGGGGTGCTGGGGCCTCGGAGCCTTCTTCCCAAGCCACGGGCCGCCGGCCGGAGGAGGAGCCCCAGAAGCTTGACCAGCTTGACCGTGAGTGAGAATCTGCTGTCCTCTGGCCGCAGCTGGGGACTGCCCGGGGGGCGGGCGGGGGGGACAGCTTAGGACTTGGTTGTTCTCTGGCGAGCACTGATCTGCCCCTTGGGGCTCCTGGCCACACTTTAGGGTTCCACGAAGGGCGTCACAGGAATTATGTGCTAGTGAGCATGGGACTCTGTTATTCTCTTTAAACTTATAAAAGGAATTTAGAAGAGAGGAAGATAGAATTTATGTACATATTTAAATATATCAAAGAGTGGACAGAAGAGTTCTATGCACACTCGTATGCTCACAGTTGTTAACAGTTGGCCATATTTGCTTTGTGTGTGTGTGTGAGTGTGTGTGTGTGTGTGCTTTCGTTGCTGAACCATTTTAAGTAAAATAATGCTTCATCGTTAAATACCCAAGAAATAAGGACCGTCTCATACACACCCACATGCCTGGCCTTGGCCCGCATAAAATCAATGCTGCCCCATTAATCCACTTGCCTGTACAGAGTGGGCAAGTTTTTAAAGCTATGAAACAGGAGCTCTCCGCCCACCAAAGGAAAGTAAAAGGCATCCAGCGGGTCACTGTGCAGAGGTTTCCTTTACATGCTAACTGTCCTCACCTGAGAGGGTGAGGCAGACAGAGTCGGGGAGTGAAAGCCAAGCAGGGTTTCTTCTCCTGGGACCGGGTGGCCGCTAGCAGGGTCGCTGTGGGCTCGCTGTCCTCGCAGAGTGGCCGGGGCAGCAAAGAAGACCCTGATGTTGCTTGTGGCTTCTGTGCAAAGACTGGGTAGCGTGGTTATGCATCAATCGGCCGGCTGTCTGTCTTGTGGGCGGGAGTCCCTCCGTCCTCCAACCCCACCCGAGGCCAGGCCGGCACCCTTTCAGCCATTTCTCCGACGGCATTTTGCAGGTTGGAAGGTCAGCGTTAGCCTTGAAAAGTATTTCCAGGCGCAGCCCGTCATTTGATGGCCTGACAGCCTTCGGAGGGAAGCAGAACAGGGATTATGATCCACATTTCACAGGGAAGGAGAGGAAGGCCCAGAGAGATTAGGAAATGTACCCACGGTCACCCAGCTTGCTCAACCCGAGGCAGATATTCACAGATCTGTGCATCCTGAGGAAACAGCAGGGCACCAGGGGAACATCTGAAGGACTGACCTGCGATGTCTTGCATGAAATTTCATGCCTTGGCCCAGTGCCCTTCCCCCGTGGACCTCCCAGCCTCTCTCAGAGGAGCAGCCCTGGGATCTGGTGCTTCCCACCAGGTCTGAGGCCTCAGGAGATGCTCTAGGGCACCCCATTCAACACAGGAGGCCCATGCTGGTCTCAGAGTCCAGCACACTCGTTAGGAAGCGCGCTCTGTGCATCTAGAGCAGTGGTTCTCAACCTGTTCGACCCCTTTGGCGGTCGAACGACCCTTTCACAGGGGTCGCCTAAGACCATCCTGCATATCAGATATTTACATTACGATTCATAACAGTAGCAACATTACAGTTATGAAGTAGCAACGAAAATAATTTTATGGTTGGGTCACAACGTGAGGAACTGTATTTAAAGGGCCAAAAGGTTGAGAACCACTGATCTAGAAAGATTCACCGGAATCCACTCTCTTCCAGAGGATACTATCATCCAGATGATAGTGCAGCTGCTCCAAGCCGTAGGGGACGAGTGGGATGAAGAGGTGAGGAGCCAAGGAGAGGAGGAGGTCCCCGGGGCTTGATGCTTCTTCCCCCTCCTCCCCCCTCCTCCCCCTCCTCCTCATCCTCCCACTCTCCCTCTCCCTCACTCTCTCCTCCCCCTTCTCTACCTGCCCCACCTGCCCTCCAGGCCCCCCAGCCCCTCTGCTCTGGACTCTGTCATCCCCTTGCCTGGGGACACCCCCTAGCACTTGGCTGCCATTGAGTTGCTTCTCAGGGAGCTCTCCTCTCTCCTCAAGGTCAGGGACCTGGCCCAGTTTTTCCCATGCCCCCTACAACTTCAAGGCTCTCAGCGAGAAGTGGCCCCACAAGACCCGGCCCCAGCTGCCGTCAGGAAGAAATCCCAGGAGAGAAGGTCCAGCCTTAGGAGAACCTCTTCTCACAAGAAGCAGGGCTCCGAGGAGCCCAGGAGAGCAGGGGCTGCGGATGCTCCCAGCCCGGAGTCCCGGCCGTCCAAGAAGCCCAGCTTCCTGTACATGTGCGTCGGGGGCCACCGGGCCTCCATCTCCAGCAGCGTTGGTGAGCAGGCTCACGGTTACCATAGCAACACGGCGGCTGCCTCCAGCTCTGGACGCTTCCCCAGGGCCGGAGCTGGCCGTGAAGAGCAGCCGGCCCGGCCCATGCTCTTCCCTGAGCAACATGGGGAGGGGAGGGGTGCCAGCCAGCCACCTCCACACACCAGACCTCCCTGCCGAGGCCACCCGCAAAGCCCCCACTGGGAATTGTATTCAGGGACCCGCAGCGTCCTCATCTCTGCACCCCAGCCTCCACACCTGGCATGGGGAGCTGTGCAGGACGGAGGAGCCTGGGAGGCGGGAGGCCTGGGTTCTGGGCTGTGCTTCCTAAGTCGTCCTCCATCTCCGTGCCTCACTCTCCTCGCCTGTGAACTAGGGCACCTGCCCGCTGTGGGCCTAGACCAATGAGCCCTCGGCCTTTTATCACCTCCATTTTACAGACGAGGGGACTGATCGTTAGGGAGGCAAAACAGTGGCCAAGGTCATGGCCCATCGATGATGGAGCCAGAGCCGGAGGGCAAAGGACCTCCTGGGTGTCAGCGGGAGCAGCCTTTTTAAAAGGAGGCGCAATGCTTTGAACCAAAGACGGGGTTTTCCTGCCGGGGATTCTGGCCCGGAGTGCTGACTCATTCTGCGCACTTACTCTCCAACTAGTGGAGCAAGCCAGGCGGGTGGAGGGATGAGGGCGCTAGGGGAGGGAGGCGAGGGAGTAAGCCCAGGATGCCAGGTGTTCAGTGCAAGGCCCTGCCCAGCAGCTCACCTCCACCCCGGCTCACTCCCCGGCTCAGTCCCCGGCTCAGTCCACCGTGATCTGGCCACAGAGCGAACGGTGGAGGCTCTGTCACCTCTGTGCAGTAGGTAGCAGCCTCGCACTAACAAAACACACTCACCGTTTCATTTTGCTTCTCAGACTTGGAAGAACCTGAAGTCCAAGAGGCCTCGTCTACAGATTGTGGGGGTCCAAGACACTGCGAGCTTCCCATCCACTCAGGAAGCCGGGCGCCCGGAGAGGAGGGTCAGCCGGAAAAAGCCTCGGAGTGCAGTCAGTATCCCCCCCCCCCCGCCCCCCCCCCCCCGGGTCCCTTCAGAACGCCTGGCCTCCTTGGGGGGCGGCCATAGGTGCTTCGAGGGAGGCATTGGCTCACGGCTTGGGCTGGGAAGATGGTGTGATTTAGGGCCTGGGTTTGAGTTTGGGCTCTGACCTCTTCCAGCCGCATCAACTTGACATGTTGCTTCTTCTCTGGCCTCCGTTTCCTCATCAGTGTAATGGGGACAATAATAGTACCGGCCGCATAGAGCTGTCGGACGCACTAAAGCAGTGGATGCCCATCAGCATTGAGAGCAGTGCCCCTTCGCAGCTGATGAACGTTAGCTGTCATCTGTTGTTGTCACTATTGTTGAGGCTGGTCAGAGCCTCAGGGAAAGCAAAGAGGATGGGAAGGGGGACGGGCCCAGGAGAGAAGCTCAGCAAATGGCAGCTGCCCTCAAGATCATTACTGTTTCATGGGGCGGGGGGGGGGCTGGGTGGGGAGCTTGGAATCAGAATCCCTGTCAGCTCTGGGTGCTGAGGATACTCCTAAAGGCCTGCCCCACCCCCTCTGCCTTGTCTGCTTTTCACAAAAATGTGCCTGGAAGGGGAATGGAGAGGGCCCAGCGCCGTTTTCCTGTTTTCCTCTCACCTAATGGGGGGGCACCCCTAGGTCCTCCCTGGGGAATGGTCATGACTGTGTCCCCTTGAAGCTGCCTCTGCCCCCGGCCGCCTGAGGGATCTGTGAGTCCCTCGGGTCAGGACTGGGCCAGCGCCAAATGCAAACTCCTTCACATCTAGGAGATGGGAGAACCGTCCACCCGGGGCCTTAGGAAATGAAGACTGAGCCACACTTTCTTCTGCACTTTCTTTGTCCCTTTTTAGAAGAATTTATCCAGAAGATCGTCACCCTACTCCAAGATGCAGAGGAGCAGGAGGGGGAGAAGGTGAGGAGGACGTTCCCCACCTAGACCCTGACCCTCACTATGGACCCGGGTCCCTGCCTGGCTCCATCACTTCCCTGCCCTCCCCAGTTCTACATCCTGCCAGAGCCCTGCTCCGGCCCCTCCCTCCCGCTCGCTGCAGGCTCCCGCTCTGCCCCTGAGCGGCAGTGGCTCTTCCCTCTGGACCACACACACCCTCTGACCCGCATTCGTCCCAGGGGATGCTGGTCTCTTTCCCCGGCTCTCTTGCAATCTCCTCAGAGTCCAGGGCCTGACTCGATCTCTCTCGTCTCACCTGCAGCAGCTCCAAGGCCAGGAGGCAGAGGTGGCCCCGGAAAACACGGCCCTGCCCTGCAGGAAGAAATCCCAGGAGAAGAAGTCGAGCTTCCGCAAAGCCTTTTCCCATAAGAAGCACGGCTCCAAGGAGCCCAAGAGAGCAGGGGCTGCAGGGGCCGCCAGCCCGGAGTCCCGGCGGCCCAGGAGGC